ATGTCTGATGTCTTCCTCAATCGCTTTTCACCTTAGTTTTTGAGACAGGATCTCTCGCTGAACCTTGAACTCACTGATTCAGCTAGAATAGCTGGCCAGTGAGCCCTGGGGAATCCTCCTGTCTCTGCCTCCTCCTATGCATACTAGGAGTTACGGGAGCATGCCACCACACCCAGCTTCAAATAAAGATTTATTCCATTTTTAATTATGTATATGTGTGTGTCTTTGTGTGGCCATGTGCATGTGAGTGCAAGTAATTTCAGAGGCCAGAGAGAGTGTTGGATCCCCTGGAGTTGGAGTTACAGTAGGTTGTGAGCCACTGGATTGTGGGTGCTGGGACCCAAACCTGGGTCCTCTGCAAGAGGAGTATGCACTCTTAACCACTGAGCCATCTCTCTGGCCCCTTGCCCAGGTTTTTGACATGTGTGTGGATAGTCTGAACTCTGTTTCTCATGCTTGCCAGCAAGCTCTTTATCAACTGAGTCATCTCCCCAGGCTCCACATATAGCAGTTTTAATCTATGCATAATTTAAACATAAATTATAACCTATACTTTCATATTGGGGAATTTAGACCTTTAGAGGTTGCATCTGGGTTTACAGCATACATCTATGACAATCTCCCTTCAAATAGTAGCATGCTGCTTGACATGCAGCACGAAAACCTTACAATAGGATATTCCATTGCCTGTCCCAATTTTGTAGTTTGCTATTATATATTTAGCTTTTACGTATAGTGTAAAACCCCAGACTATGTTGCTTTTGATGGTCAATTATCTCTTATGGAGACTTGAATAGTAAGAAAAGGATATATTTGCCCAGACAGATGTCATTTCCAGTGTTCTTCATTCCTTTATGTAAATCCATATTTCCATCTGGATTTCAAAACCCTTTGGATTGAGGGACTTCCTTAAACATTTATTTACTGTGAGTCTGGGGATGACAAACCACTCAGCTTTTAGCTTCTGTGTGCTGTAAAATCTCTACTTACCTTCTATTTTTTTCTGATTCAGTTATTGATTTGTTTTTATAGCTTTACTGAATGTAATTCACACACCATACCATTCACCCAGTTAATTAGTGGCTTTCAGTATTCAGAGCTGTGCAATTGTCACCATCATCAAACTTGGAATAGTTTCATTCTCCCAAAGTAAGCTTTGATCCCTTAGCCATCAACCATCTAATACCCCAGTTTCCTCCAACTCCCTCACTCTTAGCCAATCATTAATCTGCTTTCTGTCTCTGTAACAACTAGCCTATCCTGGACGTTTCATGTAACAGGAGTTATGAAATATGTGATTGTGGATGGCTTCTTTTGAGTTTCCAAGTTTTCAATGATAGTATTTGAGTAATTTCTACTTTGGAGACTGGTGGTTTGAGTGCCCCCCATAGCTCCAAGTATTTGGATACCTGGTCCCCATTTTGTGATGCTGTTTGGGGTATGTGTGATCATTGAACCTTTAGGTGTGGCCATGCTGGAGGAAGCACATCACTGGGGGTGGGCCATGAGAGTTCATAGTCATGCCCACTTCCGGCCTGTCTCACTCTGTTTCCTGTGCCTGTTTGAAGATGTGAACACTCAGCTTTCTGCTCTGGTCACCTCCTGCTGTCATGCCTCCCCCACCATGATGGACTCTAACCCCTTTGGAACTCTAAGCCAAATAAACTCTCCCGTCTGTAAGTTGCCTTGGTCATGGTGTTTTATCACAGCGAAGGAGTAACTAACACAGAGATATTCTAAATTATGCTGCACATTCATGTGCACGTTTATATGACTACATTTCTTTTGGGCAGCACTGCTGCGTCATGGTAACATTTTGAAGAACTGTCAGACTGTTTTCCAAAGTAGCTGCACTAATTATACATTCCTACTTGCAATGTGATGGGTTTAATTTTCCTACATCATTGTTTAACTTTCTTGTGTGTATCTACATATCTGTATAAATCCTGTGTGTGTACACATGCAAGTGCATGTAAAGGCCAGAAGTCAACATGACTTCTTCGACTGCTCTCCAGCTTATTTCTTGAGACAAGATCCTTCACTAAACCCAAAGCTCACCAACTGAGCTGGACTGGTGGGCCAGCAAGCCCTGGGATCCTCCTGTCATTACATCTCCAGCACTGGCAGTACATTTGCATATCACTGTACCTAAATTTTTAAGTAGGTGCTGGAGATTTGTACTTAGGTCCTCATCTTGAACAGCAAGCACTTTACCAACTAAGCTAGCACCTCAGTCCATGTTATTCTTTTTTGGGGGGAGGGGGAGGATTCTTTGTATTTTTTATTTAGTCACTTCTTTGATTTACATCTGCTTTAATTTTTTATTGAACTTTTGCAAATTGCATACAATATATAACCATCCTCATGGGAATGAAGGATATTGCATTGTGTATTAAACTTTTACTGCATTTATTTATGTGTGTGTGTGTGTGTGTGTGTGTGTGTGTGTGTGTGTATACACATTTGCCATAGTGCCATGTTTGTGGAAGTCAGAGGACAACTTTTGGGAATTGGTTCTCTCCTTCTACCATGTGGGTCCTGGTGACCCAACTCAGGTGGTCAGGTTTGACAGCAAGTGTCTTTACCTGCTAAGCCATCTTGTCTGATGGCCAATGATCAGCACTTTTTCATGTGCTTATTGGTCATTTATGTCTTCTTAGGAGAAGTCTCTTTTCAGATCCTTCGTTTTAAATTTGGATTATTTGCCTTTTCATAATAGAGTGATAAGTATTTTATTTACTGTTGTTACAGATACCTTATTGTAATGTAAGTTTTAAAAAACTTTTCTGCCACTCCATGGGTTATCGTTTTACTCTCTCAAAGGTATCCTTTGAATCAGAAAGGATTTTTTAAATTGATGATGAAACAATTTATTCTTTTATTGCTTGTACTTTTGGAGTCATATCCTAGAATCTTTTAGGAATAAATCTTTATAATCATTTAATGTGCTTGCTATTTCAAACATCTATATGAGTTTCAGTGTTCCAATGAATCTCATTTTTAAATGCATTGCCTGTGTGTAGTTGATAATTCTTTATTGAATGTGAGACTTGATGAATTTTACCTGTTGAGAACTAGATCGTTTTCTATACTGTTGAGCTTTGATCTAAGATGCACTTATATAATCACAAAGATTTATACCTATGTTTTTTATTAAGAATTACATGGTTTTGAATCTTACATTTAGGTTTTTTTGATACAATTTGAGTTAACTTTTACATATAATATGAAGGGGTTTAAATGCATTCTTTTATTAAAAATTAATGCATTCTTCTATTAAATGCATTCTTCTATTAAAAAAAACAATGATTTCCTCCAATGAGCTGTCTTGGTACCTTTTTAAAAAAATGAACTTCTACACATGTGAGGGATTACTTCTGAACTCCCAATTCTGTTCCATGGAACTATATCTGTCTTGATAGCAATACTACACCATTTGGGGGAAACTTTTTGAGACAAGGTCTCCCTGCAGCCCCTGCTGGCCTGGAACTCACTATGTAGACCAGGCTGGTCTCAAGCTCACAGAAATCTGTGTGCCTCTCCCTCCTGAATGCTGGGATCAAAGGCATGCACTACCAAGCATCACATCATTTTTTTTTCTGTAGCTTGTCATCTGATACTATAGTGTTTTCTTATTACCACATCCTAATTTTCATTTATGAAAGTTTAATTCAGGTGGTTAAAAATATCTTCCATGTCTTGACTTTCTTTTTCAATGCTGGGGATCAAACTCAGATCTCACTCATCCTAGGCAAGCACTGTACTTCTGAGCTATATACATCCTCAGTTCTATATTTAAGTTTACAATATATGGGATAGTTTTGTAATAGCCACTTAATGTGCTTGCTATTTTGAACATCTATGTGAGTTTCAATGTTCCAGTGAATCTCATTTTTAAATGCATTGTCTGCATGCAGTCAATAATTCTTTATTAAATGTGAGACTTGATGAATTTTACCTGTTGAGAACTAGATCATTTTCTACATTCTTGAGCTTTAATCTAGGATGTACTTATTCAGGCACAATTTGATTTTGCCAGGTCATGCTTTTACGGTTTGTTGGGCAGATTGGAACAGCCCTTAACCCAGGACTAGTTATCCTTACTACTGAGAACTTGTCCTCCTGTGTACTCTCCCTAGAACCCCAGGAACAGTGATGCTGTTAGTCTCCTCAATGGACACTACTTTCTGTGACCCTGTGAGAGTACTAGGTACCTCTAATCTGTGAGGCTTCTCAGCTCCTTCTTCCTAACTCAGGAAATCTGCCAGGCTTAGCCTTAGCTCCCACATCCAGTCCATAATGAAAACTCCATTGCTCACCTCCCATCTCTGGGTCACAGTCCACTACTGCCCAATGTCAATGGCTTAAAAACTGTTGCTTCATAAATTTTGTCCATTTTTCATTGTTTTCAAGTAAGAGGAAGCAAATCCAGTGCTTGCTAGTCTATTTTAGCTAGAACACTCAAGACAGATTAAAAAATTCACTTGTCTACAGGTTTCCCAAATACTTTTTTATCCTTTTGGGTAACACTCCTTTCCACATACAGCCCACTTTAGAATGTTTCTGGAAGCCTGTTTCTCAGCTCTGTTTTACCACATTGTAACTAACAACATATTGAAATTCACATCATTTCACATATTTATTTTGAGAAAAATATTACTTTTTTTTTTGTCTTCTTGAAGCAGGGTCTCCCTGTAGCCCCAGCTGTTCTGGAACTCACTATGTAGACCAGGCTGGCCTTGAACTCACAGAGATCCACCTGCCTCTGCCTCCCAAGTGCTGGGACTACAGGTGTGCACCACCACGCCCAGCTGAAAAATATTACTTTTAATTTATTGTTAGTAAGAAATTTATCCTTATATGCAAAATAATAATTAGCACAAAATCCATGGAAAAATTTTTAGGGTCAAACTTTTGGAATGTCTGTGAACATAAATCCCCACATACAACAACAATGATCTCACCTCTGACTCTAAACATTGCATTTGGCATTTACTCACTGTGGTGGACACTGGTGCTGCTTGTCTCTACCAGGCTGAGCTCACACTGGACTGAACTGGCCCTCTGAATGTGGCCCTTCCTAGTATCAAAGAGAAATACAAATGGAAAATGGGTAATTGGAAAGTATGTCAGAAGAATCGGAAATAAAGTTAAGCTTGATTATTTGGAAGTTTATTTTCTTTCCACAAAACAAAATTATTAGGGCTGCTCTAAAGCCATGTCCCTCACTTAACGAATGTGTCAGCACAGGGAGGTCACCTGAAGGAAACCAAGATGCTCTCCTTTCATTGAGCCTTTTTCTTTAACAGAGCACAGCTGCTCTACTTTTGGGTTATGTTTTTGTTACAGAGATTAGTTTCCACTATTAGTGAACCCTTCTGTGTGACGTGAGATGGCTTTAGTGAACAATCCTATTAATAGCATTAAAAACTAATTTTTAGGAGCTGAAGAGATGGTTCAATGCTTAAGAGCACTGACTGCTCTTGCAGAGGACCTGGGTTCTGTTCCTAGCACAACATGGCAGCTAACAACTACCTGAAACTCCAGTTCCATAGGATCCGATACCCTCTTTTGGCCTCTGTGGGCATTGCACAACACAGGAATGTTTACATACATGTAGGTAAAATACTCATACACATAAAATAAATAAATATTGTATTGCTTTAAAAAAAACAAAAGTAAACTTATTTTTAACCTAAAGTTCATCAGTTTTTAGGTCATCTGACTATAAACTAATATAGGTTATAATTTATGTGACCATGTTAAATTTAAAAACTCCTTTAAACACTAAATATACATTGAAATGTAAAGTTGCTTTAATTTTTTCAATATGTCAATATCAAAGTATTAACTTACATTAGTGAAAATGGATTCAAGTTATTTTGCCACAGCAAAATGGCATCTTCTAAAAGCACACTCACTTCCACTCTTGAAACACTGATTCTAGCAGGGATTTTGCAATGGGAGAAGAACATTTTGGACCTCATTCAGGTAGCACCATCTACTAAGTTATGACAGTTCAAAATGCCCTCATTTTTTAAAATTTAATGACCACATGATTAGAAGAAGCATTTCATTACAGCTTTAACATATTCAGTAACACATTCCAGAGCAAGGATACATCTCTTTCAAAAGTGGCTGTAAATTTTTAGGTTCACAGTTGAATTAATAGAGTTATACAATATTGAACTCAGTATAAACCCTGTAAGACATAAAATTGAATGCGTTTTTACCCTTTAAAGAAGATCTCCATTTCATTTTAAAATATGCTGTTTCCTATATTTTTAATGCTACTAACACTTAGATGTTTGCACATGTGTCTTTAATCTCTATGTATCTGATTTTTACTAGTCACAGTCAGTTATACTCAGATCCTTAGTACATGAGTATGGATACAAAGTCATCAGGTAGATTTCACCAGTAATGTGTATCACCTCTACTATTTAACATGAAGTAAATTTTTATGCTTCGTCCTCAAATATGTCTTTTTTAAAATGTTTTTTTTTTTTTTGGTGTCTATATCATACAGAACATCCCACACAATCTTATTCATCTATACACCCACTTTCCAAATGGCACCCTCCCATAGCCTCCCCCCCTCATACTCTGGAGCCCATATACTCTGTCATCCCTGTTACTGTCCACTGTTACTGTTGGCACCCCCAGCCATTCCCCAGTGCTTGTCCGTCTGCTGAATCTAGTCAGCCTATCTAGAGATCCTTGTTTTAGGACCATCAGCTGTCCCTCATCTAGCAGCAATCAGTTGTCAATATTCCTTTAGATAAGATTGGGGTCTGCTGTTTATTTTCCCAGTTCTATGCTGGGTTACTATCTGGGAGTCTTTTGGGCCACGCTGGCCAATAACTCAAAGGAAGGTATTTCTTGTCTGGCATTATTTCTTGTTATGTAGCCTTTAGCTATACATATGGACTCCTAAAATTGACCCTATTAATCTTTGGTTATACTTTCTGTTTGGGTGTTTAAGACCCTACAATTGGCCCAGATAAACCAATTTATTTTTACCTTAAGGTTGTTTGAGGACCTGTTCCTCAGGGGTAACATGGGCTTGGGAGCAGCCCCTGGCTCCTCTTTTTTACCAGTTCCATCTATGTAAAGGTAAGTCAAAGGTCCTGTTCGGCCATGGATGGCTTCGCTTGGATGCATAGAGGAAACGTTTCATCTCTGTTGACCCTCCTCTTTTTATACTGGACACTTGTTCACTGGACACTGGTTCAGGTCCATCTGGTGGGGTCGCCATGGCCTCCTTGATCAAGAGGACAGGTGACTCACCACAGTTACAGGACACAAAATGCCCTCATTTTAAGGCACTTTCAACTAAAACCTTAATTGGTTTCATCCTCCTTTTTTGGGGGGGGGAGATAAGGTCTTTCTGTAACCCCAGCTGGCCTGGATCTTGTTTTGTAGATCAGGCTGGGCTTGATCTCACTGAGATCCACCTGCTTCTGCCTTCCAAGTGCTTGGATTAAAGGCATGCACCACCACATTTGGCTTCATTTTTAAAACATTTTTCCTTCCTTTCATTCCTTCCTCCCCTTCTTTCCTGCGTGTGTGTGTGTGTGTGTGTGTGTGTGTGTGTGTGTGTGTGCATGCAGTCCATGCAGTCCATGCATGTGCACATTTAGGCCAGAGGAGGACCTCTGGTGCCTTCCTTTACCACGCTGCCTTACTCCCTTGAGACAGGATCTCTCACTGAACCTGAAGTTCAGTTTCAGCCAGGCTGACTGGCTAGTGAGATCCCGCTATCTGCCTGTCTCTGCTGCTCCTTCCAACAATGGGGTTACAGGCACATGCAGCCATGACCAGCTTTTATGTGGATACTGGAGATTCAAATTTAGCTCCTCATGCTTGCACAGCAACCACTCTTACTCACCAAGTCATCTTCCTAGCCCCTATTTTTCCCTTTTTTTGGAGTTAGGGTCTCGTTCTGTATGCCAGACTGGCCTAGAAGTCAGCAATTTTCTTGCCTTATTCTCCCAAGTGCTGGCATTACAGGAGTACACCGCCACACTCAACTTAGTTTCAGTCTTCGGAAAGCATATTTAATACATTCCACATACTATACAACAGCCCAAATCTTATGTTTGGTTCCAATGAGAACAAGCACTTATATTATCTTCTAAATTAATTTTCTTGTGATTAAGACATGTGCCTCTGTTTAGATCAAGAAAAATTATCTCTCCTTATGCCATCATTCAAAATGGAAAACAGAGCTGAGGAGATGCTTAGTTGATAAAGGCTTTGCCTTGCCAGCATGAAAAGAACCTGAGTTCAATCCTTAAAACCCATGTTCAAAAAAAGTTGGGTGTAGCCCAGCATGGTGGCGCATGCCTTTAATCCCAATACTAGGGAGGCAGAGGCAGGTGGATCTCTGTGAGATCAAGGCAGCCAGCCTGGCCTACATAGCAAGTTTCAGTCCAGATGGGGCTACAGGGAAACCCTGTGTCAGAAAACAAAACAAAACAAAAAACCAGAAACCAAACAAATAAAAAGTTGGTTATGATGGCACACCCTTGTAATTCTAACACCCGGGAGCAGAGACAGGCAGGTCCCTGGGAATCGGCTAGCGGGTCTAGCCCACTTGGTGAGTTCCACGCCAAGACCCTGTCTTAAAAAAAAAAAAATCACAAAGCAAGGTAACACTTGAGGAATGATACCTGAGACTGTCCTTGACACCCCCCCACATGTGCACACGCACCCCCACATACATGAACATATACACACAGGCACAGACACACACACACAAAGAAACTGTATGATTGCAAGCACATTGCAATATAATTTGAAATTTATTTTAAAATGTTCTTGTAAGAATGTTACAAATGGGGGCTGGAGAGATGGCTCAGTAGTTAAGAGCACTGACTTCTCTTGCAGAGGACCTGGGTTTGATTCCCAGCACCCACATGGTGGCTACAAACTGTCCTTAACTCCAGTTCAAGGGGAATCCGAAGCCCTCTACTGACCTCCATGGCATTGCACTACAGGGATACACTCACATACATGTAGGCAATACACTCATACACATAAAATAAAAATAATAAATATTTTTAAAAAAGAATGTTACAAATGCAACTTTTCTTTTAAATTTATGCCTATTTTCCAAATGTTTAGGTTTTCAATGTTTAACTTTTATGACTATCAAGAAAGTTGTTTGTGAAGTAAAACATATATTTAAAAGGGTGAATAAAATGACATAGTAAACTTTTTCTACCCACAATCCCCCCAAACACACAGTGCTTATGGACTGGGTTATAGACATGTGGCTCTCCATAAGTGTGCCTGCTTAATGAATTCTTCAGCAAAGTGTAACCTCTCCTTTTTTTCTTTGTATTTCTTTTCTAACCATGCTGTCCCTAACACTTTGAGACCCAGCATTTTGGACTTTCTTATTTTTTCTCTAAAGCCTTCCTCTCTCCCCGGCCCATGCAGCTGCTAGTCTACCACACATCAAACGTCCATGCTGGCTCTAAACCAGCACGGTTTTATGGCTTTTTTTTCCTTCTCCCCTCCATTTTCTTCCTCAAGGCAGTTGCTAAGATTTATAGCTTGCTTGTCCTGAGGATCTTTTCCTTAAATTCTAATAAATTTGTTCTAAAGTGTCTGTTTAAGTCCATTTGATCCCTAAAGGGGGCCCCGTCTCCCCTGTATCAAAAAGGAATCAATGAAAATGTTTAATGTATAGCATCACATCATGAAAATAATTTTCCTTCTGTTTCTCTTGTGAGTTACCAGTATCCCTTATCTGTCTGCTTCTTTATCTCTCTAGATTTATCTGGTCTATGAATTGAGGGAACCTTTTTTAAAAAATAATTTATTGATAATTTCATACAGACATATAAGTATATAAGGTGTTTTGATAAAATCCATGCCCATGCCCTGCTCTCCAACTCCTGAGGGAACTTTTCTGCTTTGCTTACCACTGTATTCATAATGACTAGCACATAACAGATACTAAAAGAGGGGCAGACCACAGATACCAACCATGTGTCTTAAATTTTTATTTAAAGTACAGCATGAGTTGTTCTGTTTCTTTTCATATTCAAGGCTTATTTAAAACAGACCTCACCTGGGGCTAGAGAGATGTCTCAGTGGTTAAGAGCACTGGCTGCTCTTGCAGAAGATCTGGGTTCAATTCCCAGGACCCACACGACAGCTAACAATTGTCTGGAACTCCAATTCCAGGGGATCCAAGGCCCTCTTCTGACCTCCGCAACCACTGCATGACACGGGTGCACTTATACACATGCAGGCAATACACTCATACATATAAAATAAAAATAAAAAAAATATTTTAAAAACCAGACCCCACCCAAATACTTTAGCAAGATTGCTGTTATGAGAGTGTATCAACCTTACTAGTTTAGAAGTGTCAATGTAAATGATGATGACAGTAACGGAACATGTTGAGACTGCTTATTAAGATGTTTTTAGGGGCTGGAGAGATGGCTTAGCAGTTAAGAACGCTGACTGCTCTTGTAGAGGACACGGGTTCGATTCCCAGCAACCACACGGCGGCTATGAACCGTCCTTAACTCCAGCTCCAGGGGAATCCGAAGCCCTCTTCTGACCTCTGCGTCATTGCACAACATGGGTGCACTCACATACATGCAGGCAATACACTCATACACATAAAATAAAAATATTTTTTTAAATATGTTTTTAAAACAACTTACTAGTTTAATAACAAAATCTCATTAGAGAGAACTCCAGACATGAAACACTATCTGGAAAATCATTTATAGAATGAAGACCATATTAAATATTAGTGGAATCACTATTTTATGCATTTTTTTCTTTCAAAAGTATGTTTCATTGTGGCCCACATCTTTGATCCTAGCACTCAGGAGGGAAAGGCAGGGGATCTCCATGAGTTTGAGGACAGCTTGGTCTACATGGTGAGCTCCAGGCTAGCTAGGGCTACATAGTAAGACCCTGTCTCAGACAAAACAAGACAAGTATATTTCTACTTTGGTTACCTGCACAGGAAGTAGAGGGCTGCGATGGTGAGTGCGACTAGGACAGCCAGGGCCACGACAGCTGTGGACAGGTCACTTTTGTTTTGGATGCTGGAGCTTGGAAGAAAAACCTCTTCACAACGAGCTCCTGTGTAATTTTCTATGCACCTACAGGATAGAATTTGAGATAAAGAACACACCTCTGATCCGTTGGCTAATCGGACAACAAAAGGTCTCCAGCTGGTTGGAAGGGAATGGACATTAATTTTCAGATTGTAAATGTGGAACAGACACACTCACCTGTGTAAATAGATGCAACTTTTCCTCAAAATTACTGTTTTTTCCAACCCTAGGGTTATTAAATACTCAGTACCTTCTCTACTGTTTAATAATGCCTTTATGAACATATGTGAAGTTTATATTAGTAAGAACATTTCTGTTTTTCTTCAAAAACAAAACAAAATCAAACAAAAAAGACCGCTAAGAAGCGGTTTCTATTTATCTTCTGTTAACATATTCAAAGGATTATAAAATGCAAAGATTAATGTAAATTAACAAGAATTACATTGTTTAGCATTGTATCAATTTTATTATTTTGTAGTTGCATATAAAATAAAAATATTTTAGCTGGGCATGGTGGCACAGATCTGTAATCCTTGTACTCAGGAAGCTGAGGCAGGAGAACTAACTTAAATTTGAGGTCAGCCTGGGCCACATGCATTTTAGCCCTTGGCTATAATGTGAAATCCTATCTCAAAAAAAACAAGACCTTTCCTGAGATTTCCTGGCACCCTGCCATCTCAACTCTCAGGCCTGTTTGGGTCACTGGGATTCTTGTGTGCCCTAGACCTGCATGCTCCTCCAGACAAGTGGACCTGAGTTCCATTTCCTGAGACTTCTCCATGCACTGTCATCTCAGCTCTCAGGCCTGCTCAGGTCACCAGGATTCTGGTGTGCCCCAGGCCTGCGAGCTCCTCCAGCTTAATCTATCAGCCAACCTGTTCACCTAGCTGTCACTCAGCTCACCCTGCTGATATAGGACTGTGTGAAGTCAATGTTGGAACCTTAACTCAAAAGTTGCACCTATCTCTAGGTGAACTGAGATCACTTCTTACACCCCATTTACACATTAATGTAAAGTGACCCCCAAAGTGACCACCAAGCACTGCTCAGCTGGGCTATAACCTGACAAATTGGGGAAACAGCAAACAAAGATACAAACATTCAAAAATGACTATCACCTACTAATACCAAAAAACACCCCCCCCCCAATTCAGACGCCAAGGTCTCATTGAAAAAGCACAAACAACACAAACAACCAAGATAATGTGTCTACTAGAGGAATCAGCACCCACATTATAAGGTTTCCTGAGAATGGCAATCTAGGGGATGCACAAGACAATGATTTCAAAATAGCAATTATAAATATGTTCAAGGGACTCAAAGAGGATGTGAATAAAACACTGGAAGAAAAGCCAAAGTGAAATAAAACGTCAAAGGAAAAACTCAGAAACTCAAACAAAAATTTTAGAGGAAAGGAGTTAAAAGAAAGTGGAGGAAGCGGAGCAGAGAATATCAGATCTGGAAGACAAGGTTGGGGAAATGGACCACTCAAAGAAAATGTCAAATGTAAAATAACCCAGGAACAGAATATACAAGACCTCTGGTACACTGTGAAAAGAGCAAACCTATGAATCATAGGTATAGAAGGAGAAGATACCCAGGTTAAAGGCAGAGAAAATATTTTTATTTTTATTTATTTTTTAATATTTTATTTATTATTTTTATGTATATGTGTGTATTTCTGCGAGTAGGTAAGTGCATCCATGTCATGCAATGCCCACGGAGGACAGAAGAGGCTGTCGGATCTCCTGGAACTGGAGTTAAGCACAGTTGTTAGCTGCCATGTGGGTGCTGGGATTCGAACCCGGGTCCTCTGCAAGAACAGCCAGTGTTCTTAACTGCTGAGCCATCTCTCCAGCCCCCAGAAAATATTTTTAATAAAATCAGAGAAGAAAACTCCCCAGATCTATGGAAAGAGATATCCATCAAGGTACAAGAGGCAACAAGTAGAACAACTAGAAAAGAAACTCCCTTCATTATATAATAATCAAAATGTGAAACAGAGAACAAAAAAAGATATTGAAAATTGTGAGAAATATCAAGTCACATATAAAGGCAGGCCCATCAGAATAACAGCTGACTTTTCAACAGAGACTATGAGAAACAGAAGGGTTTGGACCTATATCCTACAAGTCATGAAAGAACACAGATTCCAGCTCAGACTACTATACTCAGCAAAACTATCAGTTGTAATAGAACGAGAGCAATTAAATCAAGAAGGCAATTAAAAAATTCCTAGAATTTTTATAGCTTGGTGTGGTGGCACATGCCCTTAGTCCCAGCACTTGAGAGGAAGAGGCAGGCAGATCTCTGTGAGTTTGAGGCCAGCCTGGTCTGCATAGCAAATCCAGTCCAGCTGTGGCTACAAGGAGACCCTGTCTCAAAAAGACAAAAAAAATTCCTAGAATTTTTAAATTAATTGAATAAAAATGAAAACACAACATATGAAAATCTATGGGACACAATGAAGGCAGTTCTAAGAGGAAAATTTATAGCTAAGTGCCTATACCAGAAAATTAGAAACATCTCATATAAATAAATCAATGATGTACCTGAAGGAAAACCAAGAACAAACAACACCTAAAAAAAAAAAAAAGTAGACAGGAAGAAATAAATAAGATCACGGTTGAAATTAATGAAATAGAAATGAAGAAAACAATACAAAGATCAATGAAACAAAGAGTTGGTTCTTTGAAAAGATTAACAATATTGACAAACCTTTAGATAAACTAGCCAAAAGAAAGAGACCAAAATTAACAAACTCAGAGATGAAAAGGCAAACATGGGGCTGGAGAGACAGCTCAGCGGTTAAGAGCACTGGCTGTTCTTGCAGAGGACCTGGGTTTGGTTCCCAGCACCCAAAAGGTGACTAACAACCACCAATAACTTTGGGGGAATCCAACTCCCTCTTCTGACCTCTGCAGGCATTGCACAACATGGGTGCACTTACATACGTGCAGGCAATACACTAATCCACATAAGATAAAAATAAGTCCAACTTGGGCCCAGTGGCATGGTTCCTGCAAAGAAGGATGGCGAGAAGGACTGTTCTGCCATCAACAAGGTGGTGACCTGGGAATACACCATCAACATTCACAAGCACATCCATGGAGTGGGTTTCAAGAAACATGCCCATCAGGCACTCAAAGAAATCTGGAAATTCGCCATAAAGGAGGTGGGTACTCCAGAAGTGCATATTGATACCAGGCTCAATGAAGCTGTCTGGGCCAAAGGAATAAGAAATGTTCCATATCGTATCCATGTTCGTTTGTCCAGAAAACAATGATGATGAGGATTAGCCAAACAAGCTGTATGCTTTGGTAACCTACATCCTGTTACCATATTCAAAAATCTACAGACAAGTCAACGTGTTTGAGAACTAACTGCTGAGAGTCAAATAAAGTTATAAAATTGCAAAAAAATTAAATAAATAAATATTTAAAAAATAAAAGGCAGGGGGCTGGAGAGATGGCTCAGCGGTTAAGAGCACCGGTTGTTCTTGCAGAAGACCCGGGTTCGAATCCCAGCACCCACATGGCAGCTAACAACTGTCCGTTACTCCAGTCCCAGGGGATCCACAAGCCTCTTCTGATCTCCGCGGGCATTGCACAACACAGGTGCACTGACCTACATGCAGGCAATACACACATACACATAAAATAAAATTTAAAAAAAAAGCAAACAGGCAAACATTACAATAGACCCTGAGGAAGCACAGAAAACCATAAGGACATACTTTACTTTTTTTTTATTAATTATTTGAGAATTTCATATGTGCCTACAATGTATTTTGATCATATTCACATCCTCCATTCTCATCCCATAATTCTTCTCAGATGCAAAGGACATACTTTAAAAATCTACATTCCATTAAACTAGAAAATCTAAAATATCTAGATATGTATGGCCTACATCAAAATGACATAAATAAACAGACTCATAACAACATTAAGATATATGCAGTAATTAAAAAATCTCTCAACAAAAAAGAGCCCAGGACCAGATGGATACGGCCCAGAATTCTACCAAACCTTCAAAGAAGAACTAATACCAATACTTCTTAAGTTATTCTGTAAAACACAAAAGGAAACTCCCAGATTTTTTTCTATGAAGCTAGTATTACTCTAATACCCAAGCCAGACAAAGACCCAACAAAAAAATAAAATTGTAGGCCAAGTTCTCTTATGAACATAGATGCAAAAATCCTCAATAAAATAGTCATTAACTGAATGTCAGAGCACACCAAAAAGATTATCTACCATGATTAAGTTGGCTTCATCCCAGAGATGCAGGGACAGTTCAACATATATAAATCAATAAATGTAATCCAGCACATAAACAGACTCAAAGACAGAAACCACACGATCACTTCATTAGACGCAGAAAAGGCCTTTGAAAAAATCCAATATCCATTCATGATAAAAAGCTATGGAGACTATATTCTAAATATTCTCTCATATTTACAGACAAGCGTACCTCTCACCACTCATCAAAGAAGCTTCTTTTTGCAATAGATGGAGACTCTTAAAAAGTTCCACAACTGGTCAAATGCAGAGAATAAGTGTCTGTGAGGTGCCCAGCCCTAAGTGACACATCTACAATTCAACCTCTATGCCTAAGGCTCATGGAACATTATAGGACAGGGGGTGGAAAGAATGTTAATGTATGTTTCAACTCTCACCGGCAAGGCTTCCTTCTTTGTGTGGCAGATGGTAGTTAACCTAGAAAGCCACAGCTGACCAAAGGGCAGAGAATAAGAGACTGCATAATGCTTATCCCTGAACAGGATACCTATATCAAACCTCTTCCACCCAAGGCTCAGGGATCATTGTGGAAGGGGGAGCGGGGTGTATTTCTATTAAAATCAGTAACAAGACAAGGATGTCCACTCCATTTCTGTTTAATATAGTAACTGAAGTCTTAGCTAGAGCAATAAGACAAATGAAAGAGATCTTGAGAAGAAAGAAGTCAGATGATATGATTCTATAAATGAAAGACCCTAAAGACTTCACCAGGAAACTACCAGAGCTGATGAACACATTCAG